ACAGGAGAAGAGCAGCCTCCCTCAGATTAGATTACTGAATTTGATAGAAAATAGCTTATCTGGTGTATTGCTTTTGAAGAGATAACAGTATCTGGGAAATGTCTGACACTGCAAGAGCTACACCTGCATAAACAAAACCTAATCTTGAATTGCAGCACCTCAAGAAGCCACATATAGAGACTATTCTTCAATATATCCTGCATCCTTATTTGCTATAGGATGAACTACAATTGCACTTGATCCCAGGTAACAAACACTTTGTTGAACAGACACTGGGACAGACTGGTCAGGGACAGCGTGCAAGTTCCTCCAGGAGAAGCTGGGGATTGTCCTGCAATACAGAGTGCATCCCGTCACTGTCTAAACTCTGCCACTGTTTCTCCGCAGTGTTACATAAGTACAGCACCACCAGAGTCTTAAGGAACAATCTGAACCAAATCCAGAGCTTTCTTCATCGCACAGATTAATATACAGAAACACGGGAAATCCCTACATCAAGGAAGAACGTGAACACATGTGTTTCTTCAGTTCTACCAGACCCTGCAGATAGTTATGGCTGCTTAAAGTCTGCACTGTGGCACTAGAACCATTACTGCAGAAAGGAAAACAGATATCAACTTCCCACTTTGCACTGTCAGAATATAGAAAACAGACTTACAGAACACAAACTATTCTACTAAAGTGACAGGCCATTGTTCTGCTGCTCAGCTGAGCAACCAATATTGTCAAATTAAAGCATAGTTATGATAATTAATCTGTATTTCTAAATAGATGAGGAAATTACTGCTACTGATCAGCAAGTTTGTCAGTGAAGCATGCAAACAGACTATAGAATTGCTCATGTTACTGGAATCCTACCCATCCCTATGCATGCCTTAGCTCTTTCCTGAGCAAATATTGAACGTTTCCTATCACATGCCTGTCTAATGTAAGCACTATTGGGAAAACAGGTCAGGATCTTTAGACCGTCATGTGATAAAGCAAGGATTTTTCAGGTCCAGCGATATCACAGCACTTTATTAAGCAGATTAATGCTAGCCTAGCCATTATCTTACAAATACAATGTTAGCAGTAAGAATACGTCCTTAACATCACAATGGATGAATAGCAAGAACCTACAATCATTTAAGGCCACACGACTAATATCTCATATTTTCCAGATAATTAGACCTGAGTGAGGAAGCCCACAGGAGGTTTCATGGAACCTCACAGGACTCCTACAGAAATCATTTCTGGGGAGAAGATAGGTAGCATTTTAAAATGTTTAATACATTAATACATTTAATATTTGCAGTTCTAGGGGAAAGCCTTCAGACAAGAGGTCTGGCCATATGTTACAGGTGGGCAGAGTCTATCTAATTCAGTTTCCTACTTTACAGCCTGAATCAAGATAATGCTTCAGGCTCCAGTTACATTGCTCTAGAGTTAGAGCCCTCCTGCGATACACAAATGGAGACATGGTTGTAAGATTAAGTCAACTTTTACATCTTGTTCACCTGCAGAACCACAAGGTCATGGCCATCACACAGGCTTTTACAGAGCAGCTATTTACTGGCTCATGAAGAGCTTGAGAGTTAAAACAGGCCACAAAGAGAACTGGTAGCCAGAGACCCTACAGGGTAACACTGAACCATCTACTATCTCCTACACATGCTGGAATTTTGCTATTTCTTGTTTTCAGACAGGAGTCTAACCTAGGGGTGACAAACACACACATCACCATTATCCCAGATGAAAACTAGATCATAACAAAAAACAAAAGCAAAGCAAAAATCAAAAGTTTTATACCTTCAGTTATCAGTGTGTTTTGATTGTCCAAAGTTAGGGTTATGCCAGTTATACTAGTCAAGAAAGGATTCAACAGAAGGGGAGGCTATCAGCTCAGTTCAAGCCATTCAACTGTCGCTCTAGCAGTCTCTTCCATATAAATATGGGAGCTTCCAGATCCACGTTATACCTAACAAACACAGCCCTTCAACAGGAGCTAGTGATCAGGTTCAGTTAGATGTCTTCCTCTCCAGTTGATTCCTTTCAGATTTGAGATCATTATTTTTTTGTAATGCAAAATAGATCAGACAGATGTTTGGATGTTGGATTGCTACCCCTTGCACCGGTATTCAGCTACAGTGACAGCTACAAGATGGAAAACTTTTCATTGCTTGCTACAGTAGTATAACGTTGTAAGAGGCTGTATCAGACAGTTAGGGGCTGTAGAGTTTAAATCCTCAGAACACTTGTAGAAAACTGGGTGTCTAATAGGTCACTGCTTAACTAGTTGCAATAGTAGGAGACAACTTGAGCGTGATACGATTGCCTCAGATGTTGTTCTATCTTTTCTCAGTTCTACTAGACAAGTCAACTAAGTTCTTCCACAAGGCACCTCTGTTTCTCAGAACAGAAGCGACTGTGATTGGAGAGTAAAAATAACATTCCTGTCTGATGTTCTTCTAGAGGTGAGATCAAGTCTGTCAGACCCAGATCATAAGTCTTTGTCGTATATGCAACAAGATGCCACCTGACCTGTCATTACCTACAGACATTAACTAATCAGAACTAAATTTATGTAATGGCACACTGGAGTCCACCAATATCTAAGGAGTGTCTGTGGGTGCACAGGTGAACAGAAACCCTTCATTCATGCTGTTTGCTTCTGTACTTAATTTCTTCTTCCTTTCTGCCTCAGTCAAGATTTAATGGTTTGAAATATGTATTGTGTGTTCTGTAATAGTCAGACTTAAGTAACATCAGATGGGATGACAAAGTGCCCCTGTTTTGGCTCATCCATTTCATAACCCACCCGAAGGATCCCTTTCAAATATGTATCCAAATTCCTTTCTGAACCACACAAGCTTCTTGCCAAGGGATGTTGTGGAAATAAATTCTATGGCTCCACTATCAGTTAAATGTGCAACTGTATCACCATATTTTCTTTTGAGTGTGACTTCCACCAGTTTCATTTAGTACCCCCTAGTTCTTGCTCATCTCTTTAGTCAATTCTTTTCCAAACTGAAGCATCTCAGCTTGCTTGATCATTTCTTCAAAGAAAGCTACTCCAGACCTCCGACCAGCCTTGTTACCCCTCTGAGCTCTACTGCAGTTCCACTACATTTGAGATAAGGGGACCCAAACTGCAGAGTATTCAAGATCTGGGATCTAATATACAGTGCCATGATGATTCTTGTTTCATTCTCTGTTCTTACCCAGTAATTCCTAACACTTTATCCACTTTGTTTGCTGTCAACCACTGAATTCATGCTTTCATGAACTGTATCTTAACAACAGGATTTCATTCCTCCATGGTAATGGTCAGTTCAGAACCCACCTTTTTTTTTTTTTTTTAATTTGAAGCTACATTTCGGGGTTGGTTTTGCATATGGGCATTTACACAGCTTAAATTCTTCAGTCAGGACTCAGCATTACTGAGTCCTGAATGATTTTGCATTATCAAACTTGCCTCACTGCTCACCCTTTAACGTTTAATTAGCTATGTTAAGCAGCATGTACCTTGCTGAACTCAAGTGGCAATCCACCTCCATTGACGGAGCTGGCTATTTACATCAGAACTTCTGTTTACCCATTCTTCTCTCAGTAACTTTTCCTTACCAAAGCCTGGCCCCTAACTCTGCAGCCAACAGGCTTCTGTAAGCAGACTTCATGGACTTAGATGCGCCAAACATTTTTAGCTGGTAGACAAAATCACTTATCTATGCTTGCTGATCTCTTCAAAGAATTTCAAGACATTTGAAAAGCAGGACTTCCCTTCGCAGAACCAATGGTGACTCTTCCCAGGTAGACACTAATTCTGCCTTTAATTATAGGTACTACTGATTTGCCCAGTAGACCTGACAGTTGGTTAACAGATCTGCTACTCCCCAGATCCTTTGTGGAACCTTCTTTATGGACTGGCATCATGTTTATCACCCTTTGCTCCTCAGGAACCAAGTAAGGGATGTGAGAGGGATACATGTTGCTAATATCAATCCAGATATTTCAATTCTGAGCTGTAAGAATTCTCGGGTAAATGTTATACTCACGGTGACTTGTTAGCGCTTAGTCTATTTGTACCACAGACTCTGTTATAGCTGCTTCAAATTTAGACAGATCTTCTCCTGCGTGTTTCAACTGGTGTGTTTCATACACAGTGTTTTGAGTGTGTGTGTGTGTATACACACTGCTTTGCAAGGAGGGAGACTTTCTATTCCCATGTTAGAGTCATTGGCAAGTTAAGAGACCTCTCAAGTCAGAGGCACATTTGAGAAGAGTCCAGGTACCTTTTGTCACAGCTATCCACTAGGAGAACAGCTTCCCCAACTGGAAAATATACTCAAAAGCTTTGACAAAAGTGTAAAACATACAGTGAGCTATAAGACAGTCTTATTTTAAAACTATTTTGCAACAGTGTCATCTGCGCTTACTATAGCAACTTCACCATACATTACATAAAAGTATTATAAACAGCCTAAACAGAGTTCAAGCTTTTCACAAGCTAAGCAAGCACGCTTTCTAACTGTTAATGTAATTTTTATAACGCTCTTATTCATTGTTCTTCTCAGGAAAGTGAGATAGGCCTTCAAAAAAGGGATTCAGATTACACGCTGTTTGCAACACATTTTGTGCATACAAAAGTACATTCTAAAAACCAAAAGGAAGAGAGATAATAAATAGCTTACAAAGTAAAACTATATTGTGCCACCTATTGTGCCAAGGTACAGAAGACAGAGACAAATTCTAACTTACTAGCTTAATAGGCTTCTAAACAGCACATGTTTCTATTCACTCTATTCTCAGTAGTAAGGTATGTAATTTTAAGTTAAATTCCTTGCACCCAACAGATCCTTAAGATGGTTTTTCTTCATTAGTATTCATGTCTGCAGAAGCCTGGACAAACAAGTCACAAATTGAATTTGACATTCTAAATCACAATCAGCTTTATTCTGTTTTGGTTTTTTTAAACCCAAAAGAAAAGTTACAAGTTAATGCTGATGAACCAAAAAGCTGACCTTTGACTTCTGAAGAAAACTGAGCCAGGTGTCTGGTTACAAAGAGTCGCAGTTGCTGATTCAGGTCACAGGACAGAATATTAATGTTCCAGGAACGAATTCCTGCGAAATAACAAAAAAAAAAAAAAAAGAATAGTGAGCTGTTATTACATTTACTCCAGAAACAGAAGTGAAGATAGAGAAGTTCACAGGACACACAAGAACCAGTGATGCTCTTCCAAAAGAGCATATTCAGGATGGAAAAAGTCTTCAGAAGCAGAGGGCCAGAAGATGCTTACCTTCCATCAAACACCCACCCCTGAAGTACACACAGTAAGCAAGTCTTCATTCAGCTTGGGCTTCACGCAAGTGAAACAAGCTACAAGGGACTAAGGATGAATAAATTATACCACTGCCTAACCAAGCAATGTATGTTATGTTATGCACCACGTTACACGTGTTCCACATCTTCTGCATTACCCAGCACTGGTCACTAGTAGAGACAATCTGCTGGAAGGTTAAACTACTAAACAGCTCCGCGACACCAGCCTCTCTGCTCTTACAGCCTCTGCATCCTCTAAGGCACAAAAGCCCCCACCCTCCCCCTCCTCCATCTAATCACTTCTTCAAAGCCTCTGATCCCACTGAGACCCTTTGAGTTTGTTCTTTAATCTATATAATCTTTGTAAGTTAATCGCCTTCATATCACAGCAGGAAGCAGCATCTGCTCCCAGAGCAAGTGGCACCACGCCATGCTGGGGAAGTCACCTGCAGACCTCAGTGTGAGCAGTTGTACATTCTGGATGACACCAAGCACTACAGATCACAGATCATCACATCCCAGTAAGGAGCAGCCTCTCCTAGATGGTGTGATACTACACTTTGGCACCGTGAACAAAACCAGGACATCAGTGTGAATCACTGCTACAGCCTCTTGTGCTGCTGCCTGCTGAAGCACAGATGTTGAAGGCCAATGCCACAGACTTGTAAGACTTAACTGAAACAAGAATTTCAGCCCCAGTGTTTAATGATGGGGCTGAGAACTGAGAGTTCTTCCACCATCTTCTGGAGACATGTCCTTTCTTGCATAAAATATAAAGTTTTATCACATCTGATATCCGCCTTCTTTCAAGCGAAGCACGTTGATTTTTCATGGAGGTATCATTCCCAACTGCTGCAGTTCTAGTTCTCCAGCACAATAACTCCACACCATGCAGCAGCTTCTGCTGGTCACCGGATACAAGCTCCAGCTTTCTACACGCAACCAAGACAGAGTTAGTATTTATTGCATCACACAGGTCAGTAGTCTCAGGGCCTGCAGAATCTACAGCAGCTCAAGAAAACTTTGTTCTTAGTTTCTTCTTCTGGTGACAGCTGACACAGTAGAGTAATATAGCTTATTACTAGTTTATAGTCTGCACTGCAGAGTGCACAAAAAACCCTCAGTAAACTCTCTGAACATCAGGGACACACACAAAACCAAAAACTCCACAACTTACCACCACATTCAGTGTCACAGAAGATCTCTTCCTTTCAGTTTGGGCATGGGATAGGAATGAGTGAAACATAACAAAAGACGGAGCAAGAAGGTGAACAAAATATTTTCCTATTTATACTCTTGGAAACCATGATTGTTTAAACAAATGTCCAACAGAAATGCATCTTAGTGCAGTACTGCTGAACATTCTGACCTGGACAGGAACGAAGTAGCACTCTGCAGGGCAAATCCTGCTGACTCGAGCTGCTGTGTCACTATTGTGGTGTCCTACTGCAGCAATAAATGCTATTTGAGGTACTGCTACATCCTCTAGGATGCAGAAAGAAGAGATCCTCTTTCAGAGCAAGGAAGGGGAAGAGTGAAATTATTATCTCACTCATCATCCTATTTGCAACAATTTATTCAACGTTTTTCCCCTCCAGGTAGTCTGAAGTTACTCCTAATCAATTTATCATCCCATGGCACAGGAGCCAGAACATTGTTCTTGCTGATTAGGATCCTCTCTACCTCCCGACACAAGAGCACAGACTATACTATAATAAGGTTTCTCAATATTCATGCTCTTTGCACGTGCACAGCTTGGGTAAGGTACCACGCAACTCATTGGTTTTCCATCTCATTCCTTATGTTCTTGTGAACTGTTTTATTTCCTGCTTAGTTAATTGGCTTATAAGATTTGTCATTTCCCCCTAACACCAGACCTAGTCTTCCAGATATTGTTTCAAAATAGGACAAAAGTCACACAGGAACAGAAAAATAAGACCAGTATTTACTAGACAGCATTTTAAAATAAGTGTTATTCAAGCATCCCACAGACTGGGAGTCTGCCTAAGAAGCAGGCCCTGCCTAAGGAGCACTTCACATGGAAATAAGCAGGCTCCCATGATGTCCTGTATTCACTATTCCATTCTCCTGAACCAAGGTATAGGAAGAAGTCTGGGAAAGCACACTTTTTGGATCAGGGGGAACGAGAGATTTATTCACTGCAAAATCTCTTTGCGGTGCGTTTTTTTTTGTTTGGGTTCTTTGTTTGTTTTTCTCATAGATAGGATGCCACAGCCAACAGAACAAAGGCACAAAACAAAACCCGGCTTTTACATGCTTTAGAAAACCCTATCTAGATGTATAACATGTAACACTTAGGACCAGCTTTGCTTGCCGTCTTCATTTGCCAGTTTTGTTACTCTGGTCGTTAGCAGAGCTATAAGCCCCTCACCACACTTACCAAGTTGCAGAAAAATGCTTCTCTCAAGGGCAGAAGCATTTCGTTATTTACACTGCTTTGTTTCCCAAGGAAATAAAATCATCTGCTCAGCAGCCTCTTCTACTCTCACACAAACCTCACGTGAACCCTCTCCAGCAAGCAAGCACTTAAGAAATGGGAGTCATGATGTATGTACCATTTCCACATTTCTTGAACTCTCTGAATCAAGAGTATAGCTGTCACCAACACTAGAATATGCTGTCTGTTGACAGACCTCAAGACCCTGCTGTCATTTTAACTATTCTTACTTTTTATATCCATCTTCCAATTTGCAGATCTTGGTCTATTTCCAGATGAGGTCATTCTCCCATTTCACAGTGGGGAAAACTCTATGACTCGCTCAAGGTCCTACTCCAAGTCAGTGAAAGAGGAAAGTCCGAAATCCAGGTTCCTCACTCCTTCAGCAGTTCACTTTTACTGTTAGTAATTTACCAGTACTGCTCACATGGCTCCATGCACGGAAGTGTCTGCACTTGGCAGAATTTCCGTAGGTTTCTAGTCAGACAAAACTAACTGTCAAACTTACTTCTGCTGTGACAATTGCAATTTATGTTGAAAAAATGGTATTTATTTTTTGTTTCCAGTGGGAATTCCCCGGTTATTGGCATACAACCACAGAATCAAAGAGCAAAGTTCATTAGGTTACAGTCTGATCTGTCACTATTTCAAAGATTGAGAGAATGGATAAAGATGCAGGTTGGCACACCAGTTCAGCGAAGTGCTAAGCACAGATGATCCTACTGTTGTGCAGAAAGCAGGAGCAGCCCCCTTCAGAGAGGGACTTTCGGAGGCAAAGTGGTGATAATCTGATGTACACCTACTGAATAAAGCCATCCCTTGGAGGAGAGAAAGAAACATTCAAAGTACCTGGTAAGTGGCCTGCCAGCAAGGATGGATGGAAGAGATGCTGAAGTGGAAAAATTGGACAAGATTTGGCATTTTTACATCCGCCCCCTCTCAAATTGCACTGTCCATCTGTTCCTCAGTACTGTTGATGCTTGAGAGGAAAACAGTCATAGAACCATTGGCCAAACTGTGTTATTCAGAGACAGTTACCACTGTTATCACTGGCATCTTTTAAACCTGTGTGTCTTAGAAATAAGGGGTAAGGGGAGAAGAGGCACAGGCAAAGTCAAAAGGCTGTTACTACATTTCTTGGGGTGTACTAAACTGCTTATCAGAACAGGGATGCCCTTCAGGTCCTGATATAGCTGACAACCTCTCCTTTCTCTTTTTCTTAGGGACCATCAGAAACCGCCACAAAGGAAGAACTGCCATCTCACCACCTCCCCCCCCCCCGGGGTTTATACAGCACTGCATCTAACACACAAAGACAAATTCACTGCCAAGGCCTCTGGGTGCCACCACCCAACAGATGACAAAGGAGCAAAGTGTTGGGGCAGTCCCCTATTGCCTTGTGCCACTCCTGAATCAGTTCAGCCATGGTTGTGGCTTGTCCCCCCTCGGCCTCACTGGTCCCCGCAGTTGCCCCTCAGGCAGGGGGAGGCCATAGCACGACAGGCCCCTGTTTGTGCTTCCCCTGACACTGCAGTGACCCGTCCAACGAGACTAATCCTCCAGTTCATATGACAGAAGCTCGGGGTAAAATGGAAATAAGATGTAATGCACTGACATGCTAATAAAATAGAAACTTGGGGAAATTAGAGCCGTAAAATGCCATCAAGCTTAAAGACAGTCAAACCCAAGGTTAACCGCGTTTCACCAACGCAAATAGAGGAACGCTCGGGGGGAGAAAGCCGATACACCCATTGATGGCCCGATGGCCGCGCACACGCCCGCCCGGCCCCCCGCCGGCGCCATCTGCCACCG